TAAACAATCATATAAAAATAGAATAATATAATAATAATAATATAATAATATAAAGTTATAATAGCGTTGGAGTTAATCATACAATTAGGGTTAATTTAGTTAGGTATAGGTTTGGTTCAATTTCATAACCTTGGGATTATATCTAGTATTAGGGTTAAATGCATGTTTCAGTTAATGCATGTACTAAAGTAAATATACTTAGCATATAAAACCTTAAAACTTAAAAATGAAAAGTATAATCAATTCCTTAGAAATATTTTTTTTGTAAATATTAAACAACACTATATCACGCCACTTTTCACAAATTCTAAAAAAAATTAATTTTTATGATCTATGTTATAGGCCTAATGATCATAGTTCACCAGGTTCATTATCATACTTAAGATAGAATGTGGTTCGTTTCCACCTATTTGATCAGTTTGTACTACTTGTGTACATTCCAAAGATACCTTAAGAGAATTTTTTTTGCTAACACAATGTTGAAAATAATACCTACAAAATCAGATGGATTATTAAAATTTTTTGATAAGGAATGTTTTTTTTTGTTGCTTTATTAATTTGTTTAGTCTTGTATCCTGAATTTTTACCATCAATTCTTTTTTTGTTTTGTTTTTAACAGCCACATAACGTAAATAGGTTTAAAATTATTACTCAAATTACTTAAAGATTGTTTGGCATAAAATTTGCTCAAAAGACAGTAGTAAGAGTAGTAAGAAGTCGAATTTCTTCTTTTGGTTCTTCTAACTTTGTTTAAAAAAAAGTTTTTTTGTCACATTCCATACCAGAGATGACAAAATAAAAATTAAGTTGAGCAAGAAGTACTTTTAATTTTTAAGATTCTTCTATATTACAAACTTTTCTACAGGTTTTTCCTATGAAATCCATGCTTTTATATTTAAACTTATCAAGTTATTAAAAGCCTAACTTTTTAGGCTTTTTTTTTTTCATAGCTTTATCCTTTTTGAGAACTGCTTTTTTTTTAACCATATTTGTTTTTTATCATTGGTTTTTGAACAATCAAGTAATTCTTTTCTTACTTCATCAGTTTTACTATTTAGTCATTCTTTTGTTTGATTCTGAGACCAAATTGTCGAAGCCTAGAAAGTTTGAGTATTTGCATTTGGTTTTTAAAATTACCATGCTAACTTGCTACTTTTGCAAAGTTTTTAATGTTACCAACTAGTTGAGTTATCTTTATAGCTAATGATTTTTTACAGCAAAGCAGTTAAACATTACACAAAACATAGAATATACAGCATTGTATGAGATATCTTTCAATGTTTAAAATCCAATAATAAATTTCTTTATTAAGCATTTTATCTAAATAAATATACAATTTTCCAGAAGTCAAGCCAAATAAATATATAAATTTAAAACAGTTAATTACATTAACTGTTTTAAATTTATAAATTTTAAACTGTTAATGTAAATTATGTAATACAATTGCATTCTAATTTTCAAAATTTAATAACAGTTTAGTTGTTTATATATCAAAACAATACAAATACTTTTTAAATAAAATACACAATGTTATATATGCAATTTACAGTGTAACTTACAAAATGATAAAACTTACTGACAAATTTCCAGATGATTTAATTGAATTTAAAATGAAAGTATTTACATTTGTACACAATACTATGTAACTACATGTCTTTCATTAAAAGACACTCATTGAAAATTTCAAGGATTTTGTATAAAAAAAAAAGAAGTACAAGATTATTTTATAAGAAATGCAAATAACTATCACTTAAAAACCAGAACAAGGAAAGCGGACTAAAGTCTATCTTTTGCAATGGGATAAAGTTTTACAACAAATTGCCAAATGAATTTAAATCTCTTGACATGAAGAATCAAGAATCAAGTCGTGAAGCTTTTAAAAGAAAAAGGATGTTTTTAAAAAAAGACATAAAGTGTTATGTACTATTTTTACAATGATTTTAAATAGCTGTAAACTCATCATCATCAACAACATCATCATCATTATCATCATCATAATAATAACAATTATTATTATTATTACTTTTCAGTAAGTAAATAATAATACTATAAAACTGAAAGAAAATTATTTCAGTAATCATTCTTTTGAATATAGTTAATGAAAAAACCTATACAAAAATTAAAACTAGATATATCACCCTAATTATTCTATATCTATATTTTTATACAAGTAAAGACCATCTACGCGCACATTTTTTTTCCACATAAAAAAATAGTCTAACGCACATATCTTTGAGTGCACGCACTCAAAGATATGTGCGTTAGAATATTTTTTTCTAATGGTTCTTTATATTATATTATAGCGCATGCGCTATCTAACGTTAGTAAAACGGGGGCAATTTCTTCAAATCACCAGTTGAAAAACAAAAAACCCACCCTAATTAACCATTAGAAAAATAGTTAAAAATACATACATATTATTAATAAATAGTTGCAGAACCTACTTTCGTGTGAAGACGGATAAATTATCTAATTTAACTGGTATTTTAACAAAGTTAAATCATTTAAATGTAAATAACTTTTTCAATTCAAAAGTAGAATGTCGTCTTCACTTAAATAAATGTTCGACATTCTTTTCTGAAAAAAACGATACCAAAACATGTATTTAAATTTGTAGTTTTTATGGCTGGGTTTTCATTTTTCTACACCTACCTAAAATCGTTTCATGCATTTTTTGGACGAAATTTTTCAAAAAAAACTGCGTTTTTTTTTCCGCAATAAAAAGTCACGTGACTAAACTCACTAATATTGGTTTACTCTTGTATAAAAATCTAATGAGAAGATCTTCTTGATCTTTCTTCAGACACAGATTGTTTGCCTTGCAATTTTGTAAAACTTTATTAATTTTTTTTTTATCTTATCTTTGTTAAATGCTTTTTTAAGGTTCTAACAACAAGATCTTTGCGATCTTCTTTCAGATACCTTGTTTATGTTTGTTATGTTTTATGCCATTGTAAGTTTATATAATTATTATTATTATGGGTTGTTCAACGATTAACAATTGTAAACCAAAAAAAAAAAAAAAAAAAAATTAGTTTTTTCATTCCTTACACTGAAACTCGTTTTGCAATTTGCAAAACCAGGCTGAAACGTTTTTGTGCGTCAGCAACTCAATTTTAGTTTTATATGAACTTTTATAATGATTTTTTGATATGTTTATTGAAGGAAAGTAGTTGGTTTAAGATTTGTTTTATTGTAGTTATCGGTTATGATATCTCAGTTCACTCTAATTAATCATATATCAGTTCACTCTAAATAATGATATGTCAGTTCACTCTAATAAATGATATCTCAGTTCACCCTAACTAATAACATCTCAGTTTAGTTTCACCGATAGTTTTAATAACTACGTGTAGAATGAAGCAAGTTCTTTTAATTAGTTTGGTACTATTTCAAAAACACGTTTCCCTTGATTTGTTTTTCTATGACCGTTTAAAACAAAGAGCATGACATCATTTCTCGGTCCAACTAGTTTTTTGTTATGGAATTTAGATACCCAACTTGTTTGAACTACTTTTAGTTTGATGATTTATATTATATATTATTCCTAATGTAACTATTTTTATTTCACTTATATTTATTTAATCTCAAGTATGGAATCCGAATAAAAATAAAATATCAGTGACTTGGAAAAAATTCTTCCGGCTAAATGTCATATAAAAACCACATACCTAAATCCCCAGTTAACAAATTCAGCTCTCTAGCGAGCATTGATATTCATGTCCACGGACCAAAAGTAAGTAAATTTTGTGAAGAACTTAAGTAAATTATGGGAAAACGAGAAGTAATTTTGTAGAAAAACAAGCATAATAAAAACAAACTAGAAATTTAGCTAACTAAAACTCTATGAAAAGGTTAGATTACTAATTTTAGGAACATTGCGGTAGTTTGTGGTACAAAACTACTGGAGTGGAATGCAAGAAACTTGAGTCAAGTTCGACTTGAACTTTACTTTGTAACCAATAGCGGCAGAGTATTTTTTGAGGGGAAAACCCATACTCTGTCGCTATTGGTTGCAATGTAAAGTTCAAGTCAAGCTTGACTCAAGTTCGCTTCTTGCGTTTCACCCTAGGTTGTGTAATATTTTTTTACAAGTATTGCGTTTTTAACTCATGTACCAAAGCGGCGCAAATCATATTGGTTGTATTAGGCTAATTGTAGTCAGTTCAAATGCAAATCTAATGCAGTTGTGCCAACTAAAGCAAAATGAAATTGGTTCAACAGCATACTTACAACAGTTGCGCAAACCAAATTAAAAAAATGTAGTTGCGTCAGATAATTGCGTTTGACGTAACGATACAGACTACTTGGACCAGTTATTTACTTTTTGTTATTAAAAAGATTAATTTTGTTTTTATAAATAGTAGAAAACTTTATTTGAAATTTTTTAAAATTTTATTATTTATTTAGTTTTACGGCTACAAATATTATTTACTACAAATATTAAGAACATAATATATATTTGATTAATTAAAAATCATTTAGAAAATTTATAAATTGTGCTTCAAAATAGTAAAAAAGATTCACAGTAAAAATATTGATTCAGTTTAAAAAATTCATTGATATTTTCAAAATCCTTTGACAGCACATGATCATTTTGGAAGCAGGGGTAAAGGCATATTAATCGTTTTTAAGTGTACTTAACCTATGATAAATTCTTTTTTTAAATTTGAGTCGCAAATTTGGATTTATTTGTTTGATTAAATAGCACTCAACTTTAACACATAAATATCTAAAAGCGTTTGTATCTGTTGCTATGCAAGCAATAAAAAGTACTTGTAACTCTAGATGCAAATACGCTTTGCACTGCGACTCAACAACTTAATTTGAATATAATAATATCTAACTTAATGTCGTGTTCGTATTTTTTTAGTTATTGTTCTCCAAAAAAGAAAATCAGTTAGTCTGAATAGTAACATGTTTAAATAAGGTAATGCCTATATAAGATTATTCAAGGTTTGTACAAACAGGTTTGTAAAATCAAACAAAAAAGAAAATCATTTGTTGATTGCGACAATTTTTTAGACACATAATAAGTTATCTGAAGTTTTAATTGAAATACAAGTTTTATTCTTGTAGAAAAACACTTTGGGTTTTTACTACTTACCTACAGCGTGTTATATTTAAATAAAAAATTTTTTCCTAAACTTTTGTTTTTTAGAAAGAATCTGTTAACTTTTATTTATATTATCACGTAGATTCATCAGTATGTTCATTATTGACATCAACTTTGCTATTTCTAGTTCCATAAAATAGATAAATTGCTACTCCAATGACCATCCAAACAGTAAATCTAATCCAAGTAATTTTTGACAGTTTTAACATTAAAAATGTGTTTGCGTATATTGCGATTATAGGTAAAGCTGGGACACAAGGGCACATAAATGAGTATTTAGTTTGTGATTGAGGCATTGAATATATGAGACCTATTGATATTAAAATTAAAATTCCAAAAAAGGCTAATAAAAATATAGCCCATGCTTGTTTGTTGTAGATTTGATCAAATGCAAATAAGAGGGTGCTATTAAATGCAAAAAACCAGACAAACAAGCATAAACACATGCACGAAACTACTCTCCCTGAGAACTCAGTTGGTAGGTCAGCTTCTTTTACAGCGTTTATTTTTTTATTTATTGGAACCTTTTCATCGCTGTTTGGCAGCAAACTTTCTTTTAAATCTTCCTTATTGGTTATTAGTGGATTATTTGGCTCATCTGCTTTATTTATGTTGTTTATTGTCTTAATAGAAGAAATATCGTTCATGAAAATTGTACTTGACGTATTTTCACCGTCATCAGTTTCACTCTCATTATTTTTATTAACAAAAGGCTGGGATTCGGAGCTATAATAACTATCAGGTTGGTAACGAAGTATAAGAACGCAAAGAGAAACAAGTGTATATGCAAGTAACGTGCCTATTGACATCATTTCAACCAACTCTTCTAAATCAAAGAAAAATGCAAACAAGGCAGTTAGAATTCCTGGGTAAATGGTTGCATTTACAGGTACTTCAGTTTTCTTATTTATTTTTGTAAACATTTTAAATAATAGTCCGTCTTTTGCCATAGCGTAAATAATGCGTGGTAGTGGGAAAAGATTTCCTAACAAACTAGAACTCAATCCACATATAGCACCAACAGATATAATATAGTTAGCCCAGCCCAACCCTCTTTGAGAGAATGCACCCGGTATTGGCGAATGTTTATCAAGTTTACTATATGGTACAATTAAAGTAATTACTGATGATACACCAAAGTAGCAAAGAAAAATTATGACTAATGATGCCACAATGGCAATTGGAATAGATTTCGCTGGATTTTTAGCCTCTTCCCCTGTGGTTGCAATTATATCGAATCCAACAAATGCATAAAAACAAGTAGCTGCACCTGACAGTACACCAGATGCGCCGTAAGGAAAAAATCCATCTCCTTTTGTCCAGTTATCAAAATCAATATAGAAAATTCCAGTAATGATTATGAATGCAACAACACTAATATTAAAAAAATTAAATGTCACTGTAAATACAGCTGATTCGCGTACTCCAAAAGCTAGAACAATTGTGACAACAATGGTAAACACAAATGACAATATGTCAGGAAAATCTCCTAAATATTCGCTGTTGAAACTACCAATATTTTCTTGGGTCCATTCACGAACACGATAACCAATTGCGTAATCAAATGAGCCTGATAGTGCAGCAGCATCTGCGGCTGTTCCAATCATATACTCTAATACTAAGTTCCAGCCAATAAAAAATGCCCAAATTTCTCCAATAGTAACATAACTATACGTATAAGCACTACCTGTTGTTTGAGGCACTCGTGAGCCGAACTCTGCGTAGCAAAGACCAGATAAAAGAGACGTTATAGCAGCAATTGTAAACGAAATTACTACTGCAGGGCCAGCCATTTTAGCGGCAACTTGACCAGTAACAACGTATGTGCCAGCTCCAAGTGTTGCACCAACACCTAAGTGTATTAATTGCCAAGTCGTCAAGCATTTTGAAAGACCTTGTTGTAATGAAGATTGTCGATTTACTTTTTTTCTTCGAAACACCAACCCAAACCAGGCATTTGCCAACGTTGCAAACATTGCCATCTTTATATCATTTCAGCTTTTTTCTAATCTTATTTCCTAAACATAAATAAAAATTTGTGTAATTGGTTTTAAAAAAGTTTTCATTTCAAAGAGTTTTTTTTTATATTAGATAGTTTGTTTGAACAGTTGTTAAAACAAAACTTTAAAAAAAATTGATTAATCTCATTAAAACTAATAAAATACTAATTTGTTAAGTTGATGTAATAAATATGCTTTGAGATACAACAAAAGATTAACAATGAAATAAAGGAAACAAGTAACATATTACTAATAGTCGGAAACGATTGAAGTAAATTTATGCTTAGGTTGAAGGAAAAAATTTTATGGTTTAAAAGCTTCACTCCCTTTTCGGTATTTAAAATTAAACTAGCCACTTTTTAAACTAATGTTTGTGATAATCTATACAAAAACTTTTACAAACATATGTAATATAGGTAATATATTTAACTTATATTAAAGATATTCTATAAAGTTTAAAACTTTAACAAACATATATTTCAAAACTCGAGTAAATAATTCCTTCACATTTTTATTTACGTTAATTAACAGTTTTTAAATTTTCTAGTGATTGCGTTTAAAAAATAATTTTTTAAGAATCATAAGAACAGGGATCTGCTGAGATCTGATCCCTGTTCTTGTGAGAGAGTTTCTGCGAGAATCCTGAACAAAGTTTAAGATTCTAGAAGTAATGAATTAAACATCAATTACAGCAGAAACAACACAAATCAAACATCAAATCACAAAAGAGAAAGGGTTTCAAAACTTTATTGCAGAAGATTGTATCTTGGAGATAAGATCGTATCTTGGAGATAAGATTGTATCTTGGAGATAAGATGTTAAAGCACCATAGTAAGTACAGAAATTTGCATCATTTCAAATTATTGAACTGTAGTTTCATTGCTGGCAACTTTTCTAAAACGTGAAATGATTTTTTAGAGGAGGATAACACGCTAATTGATATTTCGGTAGTGATGTTTGAAAAGAATTTGGTTTAGTAGGATGGATGAAGCAAAGGTAAAGTGAAAATGAAAAGAATGCAAAATCTTTCCACCTATCCTGAAATTTTATCACAAGTTATAAATAGTGTTAGCAATTCTAAATTATAAGTAATGTTAACAATTTAAATTAGCAACTAAATTGGGTGAACTCGGAAGCCGATTAACAGAGTTCAAAACTCTTCTTCGGAAACAGTTAGTTCCCAGTAAACACAAGACGCATTCTAGATGTCTATAGAACTCTAAGATTTAGAAAAAGATGCATTGTTAAAGACAACTATTAGACGTTTTTTTATAAAACAAAATTTAAACGTCTTAAACGTCTTTTAAATATCTTTAAAGATGCGTCTTTACAGAAGATATCTATCATACGTCAAAATGCCCAATGTAAACTTTTTTGTAAAATGAAAACTAAGCTTTTAGACGTCATTAGACGTCTTATATATGCTAAATATATCTAATTAAATATTTTAGGATATTTAAATTGTCATAATGCAAAAGTTATTAGATTTATTTTGTTATAATGCTTTATAAAACATCTTTACTTCATTATCATTACTTGATATAAAAATGCCTGTTGTATTTATAATTGTATTTAAAAAAAAAATAATATTGATCCCTTATTTTTAAAAATACTATGCGTTTCCACAAATGTTATGTCTTTAAAAAGACGTTTTATAGTAAAGGTGACATAACATATTGAGCACTTTTTTTCTTAAAGACATCTTTATAAAGACGTCTTTTAGATTTATGATCAAGAACTCTACAAACACGCGTTTTAGTCTTCCTAAAAGAGATTTTTTTGACGTCTTTTAAACATCTTTGTGTATCATCATTACTTATGTTATATATAAATCAAATTTTTAATAAAAACTTGTAAATTAAAGACCAGACATTTTGATTGAGCGGACTCAAACTCAGATTCTGATAAAAAGTAAATTGTTCAGATTTATATTTTCTTGAAATAAAAATTAAGTATTTTCTGTCATTTAAGTAAGCCATGGTCTTACTTTAAATGTTGCATTTCGTTTTTTTTTTTGCTTTTTTATTCCAGAATCGTGTTATGCAAGTTAAAAGGTTTACGAGATTACGAGGTTTTGAATTGAATCAAATGATGATTAATGAACTAATTTACAGTTAATGTAAAAGAATAAGGAATAATGAAGTAGTTTACAGAAAATGCAAACGGATAAGGATTAATGAAATAATCTAATGCCAATAAGTAAGAATTGGTAAACTGAGTAACAGTATAAACAATACATTTGTTATTACAAAACGTTTTTGCATTACTTTACATAAATTATACATATATATATATATATATATATATATATATATATATATATATATATATATATATATATATATATATATATATATATATATATATATATATATATATATATGTATATATATATATATATATACAAATATATATATATATATATATATATATATATATATATATATATATATTTATACATATGTGTATATATATACAAATTTATATATGTAAATATATATATATATATATATACACATATATATAAATATATATATATATATATATATGTGTATATATATATACATATATATATATATATACAAATATATATATATATATAAATATATATATATATATATATATATATATATATACATATATATATATTTATATATATGTGTATATATATACAAATTTATATATGTATATATATATATATATATATATATATATATATATATATATATATATATATATATATATATATATATATATATATATATATATATATAAATGAAGTTTTTGATTCTTAATTTGAAAAAGGAAATTATTATAATATTGTAAAAAAATCAGACATTTTTTTTTTAACTTAAAGTTTATAAAAGTGACTTGTTACCATGCGATGCTCGGGGTTCTTTTAAAAGGTAATTCCATTATTAAACCGCTTGAATTGCCATTTATATGACGTAATAAATAAGGTAAAATAAACTTCTTAATATTCAATTTTTAATTTTTCAAGCTTCTATGCACACGTCTCTGTATCTCGTTGACCTGTTAAACTTCGGCATTGCCAAATGCTTGTAAAGCACTGAACTCATTTTACGCGTTTTAAGTACAAAATATAGTTTGTTTTAACCTCTTTAACAAATGCGAAATAACTTTTGTATTAATCTCTCGAATATATGCAAAATATAACTTTAAATTTATAAATATGCTAAATATATTTTGTATAAACCTCTTATATATTCAAAATGTAACTATGAAAGAATAAAAATAAAAATTAATCTCTCAAATATACGCAAAATAAAACTACAATTCAATTTGATAAATAAAAGCAGAAGTTTAACTTTTAAAACTATTTTTATTTATCAAATTGAGGTACTTACACTACAATTACAAAATTAATTACGAAATTATTAATGAATATTATTACAAGATTAATAAAAGTAAAAGTTTTATTTTTTAATTTTTTTTATTTATTAAACTAGTCTGTTGAAAAATTTAATTTTCAGGTACTTGATTATTACTTACGATTTCTCTAAAAACAAATTTTCAACTTAACGTGACTAAGTTTAAGATTTAGGTGACACTACGTCCAAAAGTATGAAAATTTAGGTATTAGAGTTTGAATTTAAAGAGATTCTATTCAAGTAAAGTAGGATATTCATATATTGGGCAGCGTTGAAATTTGATGCAACTTCTTTATTTATTTATTTTTAATAATTTATATTATTTATTAAATTAACAATTTATATTGCTTATTTAATTAATAAATTACAATTCAAACCAAAGTAAATACTTTGTTTTTGTTTTTTTCTAATTTTTTTTTTTTTTTTTTTTCTTTTAAATTTCGTTTACATTAAAATGTCACAGTACAATTACAGGGGCGGATACAGGATTTTTTGAAGTTTGAAATAACTAACTTCCAGACATGGAGCGAACTCGAAACTTTTATATGTTTATAGTTATATCAAATATGGATACTTTGCAAAAAATTGAGATGATAAGAGCCTGGGAACAAAAAGGCCCCAAAATTTTTGCTACACCTGCCCCAAACGTGAGAGCAACAAGTTGATAAAATAAGTTTTTTACTTTTCTCAACTAAATCTATATTCATCGAGAAATTTTTAATTTTGTAAAACAATCTTTTAGCGTTCAATAATAATGGTCTTATAAAATTTGTAACCCCCTCAAATTGAGGGGGATTCAAAACTTTATGTGGCTATAACTTTTGAACGTTAAGAGATTATTGTATGAATTTTAAAATTTCTCGATGAATATAGATTTAGTTAAGAATACTAAAAAATTTATTTTATCAACTTGTTGCTCTCACGTTTGGGGCAGGTGTAGCAAAATTTTTGGGGTTTTTGTTCCCAGGCTCCTATCATCTCAATTTTATGCAAAGTATCCTTATTTGATATAACTATAAACATATAAAAGTTTTGAGTTCGCTCCATGTCTGGAAGTTAGTTATCTTAAACTTCAAAAAATCCTGCATCCGCCCCTGAATTATATGCCGAATGTATGGTGTTCCAATACCAGTATAATTGAAATGAGAAAAACACTCACATATAAATATAAGCATATATACACTTACAGATGAATAGGTGTACATATATATAAATTGCTAACAATTAATATAGGCTAGGATCTGAAAGAAGATCAGAAGATCTTGTCGTCAGAACCTTATAAAATACAAGCAAGCAAAATAAAGACAAGTATAACATACAAAAATAAAGTAAAATTAAAAAATAAAAAGTAACAAAACCCTAGTCAAATAACAATTTTCAAAATATCAGAAGTATCTATGTATATTATCAAGTGAAAAAATACATTTTTTAAGATAGAGCTTGAAAAGATAAAAAGAAGTTGGTTGATCGAGATTTCGCAGAACAATATTATTCCATAGGTGGGGCACTGATCTCTATAATAACTGGATAGCGCATCTCCTAATAAAATTTCGAAATTTTTGAAGCCAAAAGACGCCATATTGGAAAGCCCCAGAATTTATAAATCCGTAGTTGCGTTAAACTTATATGCGCTTAAAACACAGATTTCGCTTGATAAATAAAAAATGCAAAAACCTTATAAATGCATTGATTATTAAAAACCGAGTAAATCTGATGTTATATGTTCAGATTATTTCATGGAGAGTGACATATATATATATATATATATATATATATATATATATATATATATATATATATATATATATATATATATATATATATATATATATATAAATTATGTATACAGGGTGGCCAGCCACTTTCAAGAATTAAATTCCCTGACTTTTTTATATTTTTCCCTGACTCAGTTATATTTTGAAGTGTGAATTTTTAAGTTTTGTTGTTTGGGAGTAAGTAAAAAAAAAACCTTTAAAAAAAATTAAATTTTCAAAAAAGACATTTTCCCCTGATTTTCCTGACTAGAAAAAAATTCCCTGACTTTTCCATGATTTCCAGTTAGCTGGCCACCCTGGTATAATATTATTATAATAGCATGCAAGTGTATATTAGTATGCACCTTTTGATTCTTAATTGCCCTCTGCAAAATGCCTGAGGCTTGTAACATTTGCAAGGTAAACAGCTTACAAGTTTGCTGTATGAATCATTAGTTAGGCAATGTGATTGTAACACAACCTAAAGGTTCCTTAGGCAACATATAGCAAATCTTTATATTTACTTTTAATAATTTTGTTCTTGCGTGTATATATATATATATATATATATATATATATATATATATATATATATATATATATATATATATATATATATATATATATATATATAAATTAACTTAACGCTTAACTGTCGAAAAATACTTTCAAGACATTTTTGTAAATGCCATTAGACATTTTCACAACACCAGAACATTTGTATAAGATATTGCAATTACAAAAGAATATGTTAAAGTAAAAAAAATATAAATAAAATAATAGTTAGCTCTATCATCTTGAACAAAATAATCATTGAATAACTTGTATAAGCATTGAATAACAAAATAAACATTGAATAAAAAGGTATTATGTGGTAGGGAAAAGTAAAAAAGTATGTACACTTAGAAAAAAAATTGTTCACCTTTCATTTTGGTCTTTTATGTTGCTTATTTGTTTTCACAAGAGATATTTTAAATATTTATTAATTATACAACTAATATTTATCAGTATAAAACTGATAGATGTTAGCTGAATCATTATTATTTTACTTTAGAGTCAATAGTTGTAAAAAAACTTGAAAGAACCATGTCTGTTTTCATTTATACCATATTTACATATAAACAATCAACATGTATGTGATGCTGTTATTTAGTCTAAAACACAAAATACTTTAATGTAAAACTGCAAATAACTAGTTATCACCAAATATCTAGTGTTTTTTAAAGTTAGAAATGGCTTTTTCAAACCTTCACAAAGTGTAATTAAAGTTAGCAAAGCAACAGAACAAAACATTGTTATTAAGTGATATCAATTTTAATAAAGTATTGCATAGTTGATGATATTTCAGTTGTGGAACAATATAAACATGCCCTCAGAGTTTCAAAAATTAGAAAACCATTTACAAAAATGTTTGATACAATGTTTTTATCATGTTTTATACTTGTAAAGTTACTTTCCAGCTACTATTGCTAAGTAAGGTCGCATCAAGTTGTTAAAATAAATACCCAAAAGTAACCAGATCAAATATCAATTTGTCTTTTAGAAAAGTTTTATTTAGAATATCATGAATTCAATAAATTTAACAAGTTCATAGAAAGCAATACAAATTTTATTATTTCTTTATAGCGATATTTCTCTTCGTCGTTAATGTTCTGCGTGTTTTTGATTCCCTTTTATAATTTTTACACCTTCAAACATTTTAAATATAATAATATCATTGAAATATGTGACTTGGTCGAGTAGATATAAACGAAGTAAAAAGGTACATCTTCAAGCGCAATCACTGTATTTTCGGTTTTCTGGGGCTTTCCAATATGGCGGCCGTACAAAATATTGGCTTCACTTTTGATATTAGAGATGCGCTATCCAGTTATTATAGAGATCAGTGAGGTGGGGTCCACGATAAACAATGCAAAATTGATTAAATTTTGTGTGACAACACGTCTCATTTAAAAAATTTATGTTTTTCATTCCGTATTTGTTGTTACGTTTGAGTTTGAAAATATTATTAAAAGCGGTAGGGGATAGATTATTTCTCCATAAATATACAAAACATAAAACATTAAATACATTGAGCTCAAATAAATTTAATAATCTCATTTCAGTAAAAATAGGTTTTGTATGTGTAAAACGATCAGCATAGTTAATTATGCGGATCGCATGTTTTTGACGACGATAAAGAAGTTTTAATTTACTTTTAACAGTACTCCCCCAAGCAGTGTTAGCATAATTTATGTAACTGTGGATAAAAGAGTAATAAAGTTGGATAAAGCAATTTTTATAAAGTTAGTTACGAACTTTATATAGAATCCCAGTGTTTTTTGAAATTTTAGTAGTAATTTAAATTTTTTAGAAAAAACAAAATTTTTTTTGAATATTATTTGTTTAACTGAAACATGGGTTACACAAAACGATTTTGAAAATAACTTTTATATCCCTCATTTTAAATAGAGGAGGGTAAGTATCTCACAAGAAAGAAAAACGAATAAACGGGGTGGAGGACTTCTAATTTATGTTCATAAAAATATATTTTATAATGTGAGAAATGATTTAAGCGTTTCCGATGGCGATAAAGAAGTTTTAACAATTGAACTTTTACTTGAAAAAACAAAAAACATTATTTTAAGCTGTTATTATCGACCACCTGACGGCGCGAGCGAAAACCTAAGCATATTTTTACAACTTATTGTTGAAACAAGTGACGCAGAAAAAAAAAGTTTTGTAATTGGGGACTTTAATATGAACTGTTTTCTTTATAACGACGACCATAAAGTTAAAAATTTTTATGACACAATTTTTGAAACAGGATCTATACTCTTAATTAATCGCCCCACTAGGGTAACAATAAACTCGGCTACCCTAATATATAATATCATTACAACAGA